CTCCAAAAAAAGAAACGTGTCTCTATTACTGGTGTGTTCAGTGCAATTAGATGTACACATTTATCTTCAAAGTGACGCCTTTAGGCCACTGCGATAGAGGAAGCCAGAGTCATGGTTTCAGAAAACTGTCATTTCCTGTTTAACAGCAAACAGGTTGAAAGTGGTTTGAGAGGGGCCGGGCACAGGAAATCAACCACGAGGAAAATCTCAAATTAATAATGCAGATGAACTGGAGTGATAACGGAAAAATTATAGAACTGTATACTACAATTATTGCTTATAAGACCAAATCTGGTTGTAAATTGATATTTTCTATGATGTTGGCCGAATAAAAAAATGCCATATCTGTACATAAAAAATGAAAAGTTCAAATCTGATTCCACGTAATTTTAGGATGAATGACTGCACGAAAATCTGTCTGATTACTTCTTGTATAAACACACATTTATAAAAGAGTTTTGTTTCCCTCCATGTCCCTCTCATTTCTTAGAGCTCAGAGATTGTGAAAGAATCCCCCCAGCCCCCCCCCCCCCCCCCCCCCCAAACATTAGGACCCCTCCCAAATTCCCGTAACCTCTTGTCAACATAATATGTTCCCCGAAAGTCTGGTGGGAATGAATTCTGGGTAACCTCTGGTCTTGAGCAGTTATGACTCATTCCCCTGTAGTTTTATAAAGGCTCTACATGAACCATAACAGTGGAATGCATTACATCAATGTATCATCCTGAAACTGGTTCTGAGGGAGCATTTATTCATAACATGACAAATATAAGAATAAAAGTTGTAAAATAGCAAATAGTTAAAATATATAAAAAAAATACAAAAATAACGGCTCTATTTCATAACATATATTGAATCTGTGAAATATTTACTTTCAATTTAATTAAATTAATTAATTTAACGTATTATTTGGGTGTGGGTGGGCATGTTTGTTCTTGCCTAAGGAACAAAGCAATGACAACACCCATATTTTGGGGAGACTTGACTTGTATGGAGCTAATAATATGACAAAATGATTTGAATTTGAATTGTGTAAATTTGAATTATTTGCAAGTGTAATCTAACAAAATTGAATTTTAGGTGGTAGTTTAAATAGTTCTGAATTTGATTTTTTTAAACGAATATTGAACATTTGAAATTTAACAAATTGAAAGGTTTTTATGGCTGAATTTTATAGACATGTATTTTCAAACAGCTAGTTTTTTTGTTCTGAATTCAAATACTGCAAATATTCAGTTTAAAAAAATACAGATTCAAGTTTTCAAGATGAAGAAATTCGGAACTTAAAATTCAGTTTCTAAAATTCAATCTCAAAAATTCAAACTCAAAAATTCAGGTCTTACAGAAAGTAGGTCACAGGTCATCCACAGGGAAGAGTAGATGATCTCAGAAAAGTCGAACAGAGCATTTTGGTCCATTAGGGACTGCAGAAGGTTTCTTAAACATGAATGATTTTGTGTTTGTTAGGTAGCGTTCTCATCACGTGAGACATTTGTCTAAGCAGTCTCTGGTGTTTGTTTTAAAGTATATTTTGAGTAAAATTGATTAGAACGCCACAGTGTCACCTACACTGACAAGACGCGAGCGGCGCGGCGCAGCGCGACGCAACACAGTGCTTGAAGCGACTGTTGCAAAGAGCTGAGACTAGGTCACAAATAGGATGGGAAATCCGTGTGCTGTTGGGGATTTCACGGGTCGCGTCGCTCCGCTCGCGTCCGTCTAGACTGCATCGTACATGTAAGCATACGGTACGAGAGGGTGTGCTGTATCGTGAATACGACGCGAACCGGAGTGCTTGCAACCCCTTCACGGCCGTTTCACACCGCATGCGTGAGCAGCGCGTATTTTTTCGCGTGCATGTTAATCAATGAGTGCATTCACAACGGGAGCAGAGAGAGCAGCGCGTGAGCAGCGGTAAAGCGGGGGTTTCGGCGTCGAATCTGTTTTTGCTGCTCTTCTCCATGCTCAATTAAAGTGAATACACTTTTGATGGACAAAATTTCACACAAAAAGTGCCCAAAATGCACAGAATAAGCATGTCTAGTGAGTTTTAACAAGAACTTGAGTTGGCAAAAAAAGAAGAAAATGAAGACTAAAAAATAGTTAGGCCTATAGAAGATTAGGCTACCCGTTTAAACTTGTTTTTAATTATTCAGTTTGGGTGAATATATATTATATAAATATATATTATATTTAAAATAAATATAATGGTGTATTATATTTATTATATATATATATATATATATATATATATATATATATATATATATATATATATATTAATGGTGTATTATATAAAACTAGTGTTAACTAGCCAGAAAATATTATATATAATTTAAACTTTCTTTTAGTTTATGTAACACAGACAGCTAACCCAAATTAAACCCAAGTGTGCGGTTTTGTGTGTGCGTGTGTGTTTTGTAGTCTTGTAAACATATCGAAAGTATGACTGAAAAGAATATTGGAGCTGTTTTCTGGGTTGTTTTGTTGTTTAACATTTATATGTGAATGTTGTACACCTCCCCATAACAAACTTTCAAGACTATCAATTTTATAAATTACCAACTTCTAAAACTTCTTTATAAAGAATTGCTCGCTTATATATGTAGCTTTGGAGCCGAGCTGCTGTGACTGTACAAAAGCTTCCAGCGAGAATACTCTCGCGCGTCTGCGGCGATGTAGTTACGCTGACGCGCTGCTCAAGTGCCGCTCACGCATGCGGTGTGAAACGGCCGTGAAGGGTTGCAAGCACTCCGGTTCGCGTCGTATTCACGATACAGCACACCCTCTCGTACCGTATGCTTACATGTACGATGCAGTCTAGACCGGACGCGAGCGGAGCGACGCGACCCGTGAAATCCCCAACAGCACACGGATTCCCCATCCTATTGTGACGTGACCTAGTCTCAGCTCTTTGCAACAGTCGCTTCAAGCACTGTGTTGCGTCGCGCTGCGCCGCGCCGCTCGCGTCTTGTCTGTGTAGGTGACACTGTGGAGTTCTAATCAATTTTACACAAAATATACTTTAAAACAAACACCAGAGACTGCTTAGACAAATGTCTCACGTGATGAGAACGCTACCTAACAAACACAAAATCATTCATGTTTAAGAAACCTTCTGCAGTCCCTAATGGACCAAAATGCTCTGTTCGACTTTTCTGAGATCATCTACTCTTCCCTGTGGATGACCTGTGACCTACTTTCTGTAAGACCTGAATTTTTTAGTTTGAATTTTTGAGATTGAATTTTAGAAAAATTCGAATTTCTTCATCTTGAAAACTTGAATCTGTATTTTTTTAAACTGAATATTTGCAGTATTTGAATTCAGACAAAAAAACTAGCTGTTTGAAAATACATGTCTATAAAATTCAGCCATAAAAACCTTTCAATTTGTTAAATTTCAAATGTTCAATATTCGTTAAAAAAAATCAAATTCAGAACTATTTAAACTACCACCTAAAATTAAATTTTGTTAGATTACACTTGCAAATAATTCAAATTTACACAATTCAAATTCAAATCATTTTGTCATATTATTAGCTCCATAGACTTGGTCTCTATCAGAGATTTGAAAGCATGTCTGCAAAATAGTGCTCAGAACAAGAGAGAGATTATTCCTACCATTTTAACCATAATTACAGCTAAAATACTAATGGGCTAAATGAATATCCATTGGATATCCATTAAACAGACTTTAGTAGGCTAATTAGTAGAAATTATATTAAGTAGCCATAAGCCATGTAAACCTAGTTTGACAAAATATAGTTTGGTAAAGAGAGAGAGAGAGAGAGAGAGAGAGAGAGAGAGAGAGAGAGAGAGAGAGAGAGAGAGAGAGAGAGAGAGAGAGAGAGAGAGAGAGAGAGAGAGAGAGAGAGAGAGAGAGAGAGAGAGAGAGAGAGAGAGAGGTACATTAGTAGGCTAATTTCACTTGACTCTTTGCTCCTCACCTCACCCCATCCCATATCTTTGATGTGTTTTGAACAGAAAATTCTACTTTTTTCTGAAACTTACTCTATGATGCAGCTGTCATGCCGCCCCAGTAACCGGAAGTCCGGTGTTTTACACACACACACACACACAGCACAGAAGAGCAGAAGCACACGTTCCACACGAGCACGTGCATCAGTGAGGGGGCTTCGAGGGCGGGGATGCACTCTACTGGAAAAAAAGGGGTGAAAAAAAAGCACAGATCCCGTCGATTAATGGGGTTTGTGGGGCTTTTGGGTTCCAGGCTTATTTAAGCCGATTATTTTAAATAGTCCACATGCAGAAACCAGTGAACAAAGTCAAATTATGACAGCTATTTAAATTCCTTATTTACTGTATAGATTAATTTAAACAACGAATGTTTTATATAATTGAATGTAGTGGGGAAATAAAGAAAGAAATTAAAAACACATACAAAAATGCTAATTCGGTCATCAACTACTCATTTGTGTATTTTTTTTTAAACAGGATGAATTTGTTTGAGATGGACCTTTTTAATTAATCGGTAGCTATAAATTTGTTCACAAACTTGACGATCCAGTTCCATAAAAACAGTACACTGGATATGATCCTTGAGTTAAATTTGAGTCTGTTCCTCACACAATGCCGTCGTATGACTTCAGAACACTTTGAATATAAAGCATCTATAGGCTATTATCTTTATGATGTTTTTGTAGTGAGATTGCCTCCTTTTAGAAAGCCCCATTGTCGGTGCATGGAAGAGGCCACCTAGGACATTTCTAAAAGTAATAGGACAAAATAAGAGTGAGTGGCAGAATTTTCATTTTTTGGGGTGAACTATACCTTTAATCTACATTCACGTTTGCTTTGTGTACGCTGGCTGTACCCATAGTCTCCGCCCACCGATACTGCGCCACGCCCAGACAGTTTTCGGGGTCTCCCCTGCTGATGAATAATCATGAGGAGAAATGGGCGGAGCATCGCATGTGACTAAGGCGTTGGGTCATATTGTACGCCCGCCCCCACTCCAAGTATTAATTTACATTTCTAAGGGTCCTGTCTACAACTGAACTGTTTCCAAGCGAGAAAAAACAGATTTAACAGACACACCTTCATAAAAGGAGAGGTGAACTGATGTCTTTCCTTCTGAGGTTGATCTGAAGTCACTTACCATAGAAAAGTATCGTTCAGGAATCAGGACTGATTTTGAGGTATGTGTGTGTGTGTGTGTGTGTGTTTGAATGTGTCTGTGTTTTCAGGACGCTTTGCATCGAAACGCGTTATTTGTCGCAGTGGAAATGAGACTCGCGTTATTGGAAACAATGTTTATGAAGAGAGCCATATGATATATTGATTATATAGTGAATGTATGAGACAATAGATCAGACAATGAGCAACAGAACAATAAAGCGCTCAAATCACGCGCTTCAGAACGCAACAGAACAATGGCAAACAAATGTTTGAAATAATGAAAGTAGGCGTATTTCTTGTTTATATACTTGTAAACTTGTATGTATATATATATATATATATATATATATATATATATATATATATATATATACACACACACATACACACAAGTGTATATATATATATATATATATATATATATATATATATATATATATATAAATATATACTGTATATACTGTATATATAACATTTCTTATTTCTATTGATTAAATTCTATTATTTTCACATTCAGATCAAAAGGCTACATTTCAGAAAGTAATAATGCATGCAGGTTGAGTAAAAAAAGTATATAGTAGTTCAGTCAGCAGCAATTCCAAGCACATGGGACGTGTCATGTCTTGTCATGTTTTCCTCACTGACAACAGTCTCTCATTTAGTGTCAACGGTTTCCGTTTGTTGTTGCATGCTTTTGTCTTATTCATTCATTCATTAGACCTTCCCATTTACAGTAAAACTATAGGGGAACTTAATAATATTTGTATATTTCTAAAAATAGTTGTTTTAGAGTTATTTTAATTACTTTTACAGTAAATATTATATGCCTAAGTGAACATAATCTGAGCACATGCTCCACATTGACTCTGATTAAGATCAGCTTGTTAGTAGATGTTGCAGTATGATCATATCGAAACTGGTTTTCTGTAGAGGGGATGTTGGGGGGGTAGGAAGGGGTTGGTTCCGAGCACATGTGTTTGCAATTTGGAGGCTGTTTTGTCAAACGCCTTACATCTGTTTTTTGATCTTTGAACCAGTCCCCCCACTAGTGCTAGTGAAGTCTTCCAGTTTCTATTTGCCTATCTCTTTATCTGTTTCTCTCTCTCTCTCTCATACACACACACACACACACACACACACACGCTATCTATCATTCGGCGTGTGTGGTTTCCGTTCTGTACAACCGTGAATGTGACAGAGAAAGTGAGATAGAGAGAAAGACAGAGTCATGACTTCAGACTTCCCGTACATGATGATGCTTGTCTCTTGTGGATGGGTAGGACAGTGGAGTTGAGTGATTAGAGGTTCTCTCGGTAGTCACACGATTTCCTCAGCCTTACAAAACAGCATTTTAGGTCATGGGTTGGTTACATTAAGAAGTGTTGGAGTAACAACCAGTCCAATCTGTTCTGGCTATCATTCTCCAGTAAGCTCTTACACATGGGGGTCAACCCAGGGTGCATTCTGCTTCCTTAATTTGACCCTTTCTCAATAGATTTCCTTTGAGATATAGAAAATTAAGCCGTGTATGTACTTTGACGTGGTTATTAAATGCACTTAAATATTAAAAAAGAATACTTTGGCTTTAGTTTCCTGGTATACTGGGAATTACCTTTTTTAGCTATCTGAACACACTGTGAGTCAGCAGCATGCTCGGGTCTAGACTGAATTTGTCTACACCGCATATTGAGTGCATGCTGGTGTGCATTTATATGCAGCATATTGATTAACCTAATGAACATGTTGCTTAGAGGAACTTCTTTCTGTTGTGGGGCAGTGGCATTTCTGTACACTTGAAACGCATTGAAATGGATCTTTGTTTTGGTCTGCGTGTTAACACGTGTGTGTGTCTCCGTGATGCTCAATGTGCTTTGTTCTGTTAAGGCAGAGCTGTTCTTTGACAGGTCTCTTTGTTTTCCCTTGTCTGCCCGTTTATAACGCATACCTTCTCATGTATCTCATATACATATTTGAAATGATGATAATACATCATTTTAATATGACTGCATATGTGTCTCAGCCGCACAAAGGATTCTGAGCTATATCTGCTCATTAAAGCATGATGCAATATTCATGTAGGGTTTGAAATCATAAAGCACAGAGTGCATGTTTATGTTCTTTGTTTCTCGTTTCCATGGATTTCTGTGGTGACGTTGACACCCAGGGGCTGGATTTTGAGTTGTTATGCTAAACAGCTTGCGTTATGTTTTGAAGAATGGGTCGACTTTGGGATTTGTTGTTTGGTTGATGGTTTAAGATGGGAAGTTGTAGAACATATAGTTTTGCATTCATTATTTTGTCAAATAGAAGTGCATACTGTGTGTTTTTGTTGGGGCACGAACAAAGAGTTTTGCCCCAAACCCATTATTAATGTCTCAAGCGTCTTTGGCTTAATGTTAGGTGAGAGGCAGAAGAGGATGGAGAAATGAGATAATATGCAGTTACATGTGTGATTCAGGATTTTGTTTAATATATAAGGGTTTGTTTTTAATGAACACATGCGTTGAGCGATATCTTGTGCATTTTTAGTAGGGGAAATTATCAGTGGGAGAATAAATCTGGGTTAGGATGGGATTTATTTAGCACAGAATCACAGTTGCATCATCAAATTAAAATGGTTTTGATTTCAGATTTGAATTACGATGTAGGAAATTGCATGCTGTTTTCTATTTGTCTTGTTGTTGTGGTTGTAATTTGTGTCATTCACGCCATCATAAAGGTCTGTGTGTAAGCTGTAGCCTTTGCATATAGTTTGCACACGAGTTTAGGTGTATGTTTGTGTGAATTATAGATCTGTAGAGTAATCCAGACACGGACAGCTGTCTGTAAATCCTTTAGTCAAATCTGACCAATAGCTGCTTCGCATTCTGTTGCTGACATTGATCCCCCCCCCCCCCCTTTAAATCAAACAAAGAAACATGACAATCAGATACTACTTCTTCTCTCTCAACCGACGTGGTCCAAGAAAGCTCACAGGGTAGAGGGAAGGCTGGACTAATGGATATTGTGTCTGATTCATGACCACAAGATAAATCTAAATCAGGATGTCACAGACTCGAGTGAAACATTCTGTCCTGTGGAACATTTCATATTGTCTTAATAGAAGCCCAAAACGCTTGAGAAGTGATGTGCCATTGTAAATATAACTAGATATTCTTGGTTTTGTGAAGAAAGGATGATAGCCATAATTGCTAGGATATTCTATGTGGTTTCTAGTGTGTATCAGGTGGTTCCTAGGATGTTGTAGGTGGTTTTTAGGATATCTTAAGTGTTTGCGAGGGTGCTCTAGATAAACTGTTGGGTCGCACCCCAAAAGTGGGTTGCAAGACCGGTTTGTTTGGGTCGCAGAGTGTGTCAAACAACAAAAAAACGTAGTTCTAAATGTTTTTCTGAAGTGGGACTTGAAATATGTGCGTGAATGCTGTTGACTCTTCTGTCAGACAACAACATTGTCTTGATTCAGTAGGCCTATATGCAGTCATATGAGATGTTGTCAGGCTGTCAGTGTCAATATTCTAATTGTTACGAAATAAAAAGTCTCAGCTCCGAAAAACAAACTTTCCTGTTCTGTCAAACGTTATACTGTGCTTGCACTCAAATGCGGAGGGGAGTATGTCACTTCCCTATCCATAAAGAAAAAGCAAATGAAATTACAAGCATGCAACGTCTTAGTAACCTTGTCAATTGATAAGTCATGGAATTACCAAAACGTACCAATAAATTATGTAACTGGTATGTTGTGTGTTAGCTGGGAAGGATTTGCACGTAGAATGTTCATTTTATACATCAGGATCAGTGTCCATATGTTTAACAGTTCAGATATTGTGTATTTACCATGGTAACGGTAGATTCCATAACCTTAACCCAAAATACCACTTTATTTTCACTTTGTGTGATTTTCTATATTTTTAAAGACCGTGTGGTGGCTCATACCAACTCTAACTTTATTGTATTTTAGGGTTGTGCGATGTCTACCAATTTGGCATCAGACGATGTGTACAGTGAAACATCGCGATGGACGATGATATCGGGAGGAGGGGCGGGGCTAATTTTTCACTTAAGCAATAAGCCCCGCAAAGCCATGTTTTACAGTGGATTTAGAACAGCTAAGGGGCGTAGGCACAACGCGGAGATATTTTCCTCTACATCTCATCAGCAATTTTGATTTTGCCACGCTCTGCAGCAGCTGAGCACTAAGAGCGAATGTAACGTGACGTGACAGAACTGCCAGATTCACACTGTGCTTTCGCGATGTGGCTGGCGCTGAGCCAGAGACGGACTCAACGCTTGTCATATATCACAACTATCCAGTGTTTTTAACCACATAATGTTTATTTTAGGTTTCAGAGATTTAAATACATAATATATAGCAAAACAATACATTTATAGTTTGTAAAATACACAATGGCATCTATGGAAGCAGCAATAACAACCCATTCAAATATATTTGACGACGTTTTATTCATATACAGTGTAAGTAACTATAAAGTCAACTCTATTCTTCTCCCAGTTCACCGGCCATGTATTTCGGGAGAAACGGATGAATTCACGTGCTGTAATAAACCCAAAATCGCGATGCTGGCTTAACATCGTGATGTCTGTCAGCCATCACGATGGACGATGATATCGTCTATTGGCACAACCCTATTGTATTTACAAAAACTAGTTTGGGACTGCTATAGCCTTACCTTATAATACTGTTTATTCATCAGTGTTCGTGATATTCTTACAGTTTATGCTAAATAAAGTGGAACGGTACTTGTGTGTCAACCATTTTTGATAAATAAATTTGCTTGGTTGGTTCAAATTCCTAAAAATTTGTGTCGTGGCTTAATGACCATGGGAAAATGTGGGTCCCACGGCCAAACCAGTTGAGAAGCACTGCACTATATGGTTGCAAGGATGTTCTTGGTAGTTACTAGTCAGGTTACCGTTACTTACACCTGTTTTATCATCTTCAGTGGAAAAATCATTGATCTGACGTTTGTTCTTCAACAAGCTGCATGATTTGAGGTATATC